CGACGGCGGCGACGACGACTGCTACTGCCACTGCCCGCTACCCCCACCCTGGCTCTTACTTCTATGACTACTCCTTCTACTCCTACTACTGCTATTGTTACTGCTACTACTACTACTACTACTACTACTACTACTGCTACTACTACTAGTACTGCTTACTGCTATTACCACTACTCCTACTCGTACCTCTACTCCTACTCTTATTCCTGCTCCTACTCCTACTCGTACTCCTACTCGTACTCCTACTTCTACCCCTCCTCCTGCTCCGACTCCTCCTACTACTCCTAGCTCGTACTGCTACTGCTCCTGTTGCAAAGCCACTCCACAGCCTGGCGGCCAGACGCCAGCAGCGAAGCTGCAGCTGGCGCTCGGGGAAAGCCTCCACTGCTTTGGAACTGATCCGGGACGTGTAGTATAGTTCATAGTCACGTAATTCGCATAGAAGTTAGTATAGAATACGGTATGATAAGTAGTATGTAGTATATAGTACATAACTGGTACTGTATAAACCATATAATATATAGTGTCTAATCTAAAGTATGCAGTATGCCATCTCAACATCATCATCAGCAGCATCAGCATCATCAAGTTCATCTTCAAGCTCATTATCGTCGTTGTAGTGGGTATCGTCATGGTCACCACCATCACCTGATAATCCTGATCGCATTACGGCTACAGTTCATCCACGCAACCGTGCTCGCTGTAGTGCCCCTTGGTGCCGAGTCAGACATAGGGGCCTTCATACTTAGAACAAGGTTTTGAGGAATGGTATTGGTGAGTATTTCGGCCTCTATAGTAGCTCGAGCTACCTGCGAAACTTGCGTTCAGACAAGACATTCTTTCGACTGGCTGAGCTTGCTGAACCCGCTTGATGAATGCATGCTACAAAAACCTGTTTGCGGTAGCGTCTTCTGAAGTCCGTTTCGGCTGGAGGTAGCCTTCATCAGCCACAAGCCCTTGTACAACATACCCTACAGTCCCCTACACCCCGACACATTTTTAACTCTTTTAGATGGCTGAAAACAGGTTAGAATTACTAGAGAGTAGGGTCTTGGGGTTTATTGTGTTATCTTAACACAAGGACCAAAAGGGAATACTATTGCTCGCAGGGGAGACGATCCCAAGCAAAGCGAAGCCTCAAGCAGCTGGTTGAGTTGTGCAACCTCAGCACAAAGCCACCAGTTACCGGGAGATACTGCATGCACCGACATGAATTGGCGGGGGGGAGCAGGTTCGTGCATCTTCATCGGGTTCGGGTGCTTAGCTTTGCTGAGTGGATAGATGCTATGCTCAGGCACAGATGTACAGGGCTAATTGCCGCTTATGTGCCCATAAACTGCCATAACTACTAGTCTTCTTCCTCTTCTTCTTGATACGCGTTCCCGTCATTATTGCTGCTGCCGGTAGTCCTGAACCCTAAACCGATGTGGCCTGAGATCTGGATTGTCTTTCTCGGCGAGACATTGGAAAAGCTCTTGCGCAGGATTTTGGTCCCACGTAAAGGCCTTGTAAGGTGTCGGGTTTGGGTCGTCTTAGATTCTTCTTTACCAGAGGGGCATGGCGCATTTAGGTCTCAAAAACCCAGTTCGTCATGTTCTATCTAAACCCTGGGTTTAGAGTTTACGAGAGTCTTAGAGTTCGTGCTGTCACATTGGACCGAGATGCCACGGAGGGCTTCTCGATGCTGGGCGGGAAGACGATCTCCAGGAAGTTCACAGACACCTCGGTGCGATGAGATTCGGCTTAGCGCTTACGAGGGCTTAGAGTTTAGCATCACAAAGCTCAACTTCCAAAGATGGCGAGACACAGCATCCTACACGGTCCTTATTAGAATACGGCACCTAGTATTTAGGGTACCCCAAAAGGGACCCTAATTTTGACAACTACCCATATATCGTAAACCCTGACACTAAACCCTAAACCCTAAACCCTAAACCCTAAACCCTAAACCCTGAGTCAACCCTGCAGCTCGCTGAACTGAGGTGCCACTACATAGGGCCGTAGAAAGGCGCAGGGTTTGGGGTTTAGGGGTTATAAGGTTGGGTTTAGGGTTTAGGGTTTAGGGTTTAGGGTTTAAGGTTTAGGGTCTAGGGTTTAGGGTTTAGGGCTTAGGGTTTAGGGTTTAGGGTGAGATAAGAAAGCTTATGTTTTAAGGTGCTGTAATAGAACCTCTTCCCACTGTCGGCTACTGCAGCAAACAGCCGGGCAGTTCTGAACAACGTGCCTACCGGGCCTACTTACCATCAGTAACTAGAGCATGGCGAATTTTCTTACACAAAAAAATGGACACCCTAAACCTTTAACAAACCTTTAACCTTTCATCCGAAACCCTAAACCCTAAACCCTAAACCCGATACTGCAATCAAGCAGCTTGGCCGGATCTCTGGCAGGCCCGGAATCTCAGAAAGCTTTCCACATCCAGGCAGCGGCAAACTCTGCCTTCAGGCGTCGGCTTGAGCCCAAATTAAGGCTCCTGTAAGGCTTAGGGTTTTTGACTTAGGGTTTAGGGTTTAGGGTGTAAGGCTTTGGGTTTTCGGTTTAGGGTTTTCGGTTTCTCTAGAACGCTCGATAGCCATAGACGCAGCTATGATGGCCACGAGACTGAGAATCCAACCTTCGACCACAGACCCTGGAACGTGAAAGAACAATCAAACCCTAAACCCTAAACCCTAAACCCTAAACCCTAAACCCTAAACCCTAAGCCCTAAACCTAAGGAAACTACAGGTCGGGAGTTTAGGGCATATGCTTCTATACGGCTTCCATAAGGTATATAGACCTTCTATAAGGCTCCTATAACGGTAACTACCCACCTGAAAATGTCCTAGACTCTGAAACCACCAACTCCCCAGAACCTAAACCCCAAAAGCCCGAAACCCCTAAACCCTGAAACCCCTAGACCCTAAACTCTGAACCAAGCCTCTATAATAGAGCGACCAGTCGTGACAGAATATCCAAACATTAAATGCAAAGCCTACAACCCTAGACCCTAAACCCCTACACTGGCTTGTAGGTGTAGAGGCTTGTCGAGCTATCGGGTTCGCACTTCAATGTGGATAGTCGTCTAAATTGGGGTCCTTATTATAAGGGTGCCGTACTATAATGGGGACCTAAAAAGGGACCCTAATTTAGAGAACTACCCATGTGGATAGGGTTGAGGGCTCATGGGTCGAAGATGTGAGTGATATTAGGGCACTACGGTTGAGGATCTTAATCCTGCATTTTACCCAAAATGGGGAATATACCATAATCCCCATAGTCTAGGGTCCTTATATAAGGTAATGCAGGATTTATATCATCAACAGTACTTCTCAAAGTTTGGGGCTTGGAGGTTTAAGGCTCCCTTAGGCGTTTGCAGTACCCTAAACCCTAAACCCTAAACCCTAAACCCTAAACCCTAAACCCTAAACCCCTAAACCCTAAACCGGATCCCTCCTGCAATCCTTGTCAGGGCAAGGAGGGACCCAAGGGTCTACCCCGCAAAGGGCTGCAAGTTGAACATGCCTGTCAATCTAGCATGGGAGGTTTTGGGGTTTAGGGTTTAGGGTTTAGGGTTTAGGGTTTAGGGCCTCGGACAA